TGGGTGTTATGCACAAACAATGAATCATGGAACACTTCATCTAGAACTAATGATGTAATGTATGGGGATTAACATAAGAATAAAAAAAAAAGAAAAAAAAAGCAGTCAAGAGCAAGTTAGTCTAGAGACCACCGGAGACTGTGAGGGGATGTTGACGTACATAGCTGTCCACAGGCTGACAGGGCTGCCTCCAGTTGTTTTTCTCAGATTGGGGAAGTTATAGTCGGACTTTAAGTGGTAATAAGGTTTTTTAGTGAGTTATCCATAAGTAGAAAACTTCCTTTTTCATAAGTTTAAATTGAAAACTGTTTTTGCAATTTTTAAGGTATAATTTCTTAGCTAAGTAAAAATAAGCCCGACCAAATATAACTTTTAAGTTTTTATTATTGAAAGACTGTTTCTAGTATTTCTTGATGCAGGAATTTTTAGTACTAGCCCTTGCTTGTTTCAACTCAGAAGTCTTTTTTAAATGCAGACATTTTTATTTATTTTAATTCTTGTTATTTGTGTTATTTCTATTTTCTTCTCTCCTTTATCAGCTGCGTGTTACCCTATTTGCTACTTATTAAAAATTGTTACGAGAGTAAATGAGTTTATAGGCAGTATTGTCTGATGTCTAAAATGCTTTTTGAATAATATAGGGCTGTCCTCGACAGCACATAATAGTAATCACTCACTGAATGCCAAGTAATGAGCTAGGCTCTGGGGACACAAAGATACTGCCTCTGCCCAGGTGGCCATCTTTGATTTTCTGGTGATGTTGGGCAAGTCACTTGTCTTCATGATTGTGGTTTTTCATCTTATGTGAGAGTTCTAATTTTGATGCTCCCATCTCAACTGGGGTTTTGTGAACTTACGATCGTGTGGAAAATAGCCTTGAACTCTCTAGAGTAAAAAAAGTTGTTTGAATACCATGTGCCGTTTCTCAGGAAATGGGCCAGTCTTGCCAAGCTCCTATGGAAGGGCATGTGGAGGTGACTGGCCATCACCTCTGGTCTCTGGAAGGAATGTGGGGGGCTGGTCAAGGGGTGAGACATTGGTTATTCCAAGTCTAATGAGCTTTTGACTACCTCATGTGAAGCTCCCAAATGATCATTGGAGGTGTCCCTTTCTCTTTTTCAGGATAAGCTAAATCTGAAGGAGTTTGATGACCCTGTGAACATGGAAGAAGACAGGGTTCTAAAACTGTACTCGGCCCCCAGTGACTTTATTGACAAGTTGGTGGTGAACTTTGAGAATTTTTTGGAAGAGGTTTCCCCAGAGGAACCTGGAAAGGGTCAGGAAAACATTTTGAGAGAGGAAAAGAATGAGTATATGACTTCTCCATATTGGCCTTATCGTCCTCCCATTTCAACCGAGATTCCACGGAGAAAATCCCAACAGCTGTGCTCTAGAATATTAGAAGGGACATGCTCAGAAACCAAAGAGCAACCACTCTCTTCTGTTCCCAGTTTAGGGCCAGAGCATCTCTGTGAGGAAGGAGAACCAAATCCATACTTGAAAAATTCAGTGACAACCAGAGAATTTGTCACATCTGAAAAACCTCAAGACGAAGCCAAAAGAGAAGTTTAGTTGTTGCTGTGGCTCAAATCCCTCTGGGTCTCAGTTTGGGTGACTCCTGCAGAGAGCATATATCATGACTTGGCCAGAAGAGCTTCCTTGGCTGTCTCCCCACCCTTGCTTGTGTTAGAGAAACTCTCACACACCCCTGAGTGGCTTGTTGAGCTTGGTTGGCACAAACGTGTAACTTGCCTGAGAAGAAGGGATGGTCATATGTCTGAGCACGTTGCCCAGGAAAAGCAGTTTATGTATTTATTTTTTTTCAATTTCACACTGAAGCCTCTGACATTGACTTTAAGGGACAGTGGGGCTCCTAAGGTGGATATGTCTGGCCTTCTAGGAATTAAGTCATTGTCACAGCTTTTGGTGAAGCTACTCCTCAGAGTTCTGGCAGACTCCCCACTGCTAGAGGACAGGGGTCTGGTAGGAGGTGAGAGTCTCTCCCTATACCTTGATCTCCCTTGGGGTCTGGGCTCTACCTCCAAGGCTGCACTGAAATCTCACTTTCGTGATTTTGTTTTTCCCTCCGTATAGAGGCAGGGGAAGTGGAGAGGCCTTCCTGATGGTGTGCCTGCCTGAGGCTTCTTCTTACCTCATAAATCTCAAATGTCCTCAGCTGTACCTCCACCCAGGATTCTTGCCCCTAGTTCACAGCACACTGGCTGCTGGTAAATCAAGGAATGTGGGGAGGTCTCAGCAGGGCACTGGGGAGTGGACTCTAGGCTGGGCCAGAAGGTCCACCCCAGTCTTCACATTGCCCAGCCCTGGAAACAATTCCCAGAGGCCTTTGCTGCCGCTTTATCTTGCACCCAAGCCTGGGAGCAGGAAAGCACCAAACACTGCCCTGCTTTTAGCCAGGGACTCTGGCCCCTCATGCAGCCTCAGAGCCTGGGAATGCTTCCTGAGCACAACCTTCCAAGGCCTCTTCCCAGAACAACCTGAGTAGGCTGTGGAAACACTCTGACACCAGGACTCCTCTCTCCTTTGCCTCAGCCGAACACAGAGCTTACTACAGTCAAGGGCAGGATTCAGTTACCAGGACTTCGCATCCTGACCACAGTGATGCCAGATGACTTCCTAGGGTGTGGCTTTGACTCATCTGCCTGTTGGTGGAGGTGGCTGAGAGCCTGGTGAGATCGGGGGAGGCCAGGCAGCAAGCGAGCGGCCGAGGTGCTGTGAACCTGGCATTTACCAGCCAGAAAGGCTGACGGTATTTTTTCATAGGAGAGCTTGAGAAGTAAGTACTTGGGTAGCAGACATGAACGTCACAAGCCCCCAGTTCAGGTGTGCAAAATTATCACTTTACTGTCCAGGGTTCTGGAATTATATAACTGAAATCAATTTCTGGCCCAAGCCCTGGATATTTTGAGGTAACCGGTTTGGTGGTTTCGGAGTGTCTTTGGGTGTGTAACTCAGTCACATTCAGGATTCTGACTCCCCCGTCCACCCTGGGGCTGATTGTGAGTGCCACAGGGTGTTCAGAGGGGCAGCAGGGTTTTCTCTCCCATCTGGTGTCTGCCAAACTCTGGTCTAGAGACGTGCCTGTGGCCCCACCTGTCGGGTCACCTGCCGCTTTCCTCAGCCAGTTGCTGCCTCCTTACCTCAGGCACAAGCAGGCGGAGCTGTTCTCCCAGAGCTTTCTCCCGGTGAAACCTCCAGTGTCTGCAGCACCTTCCCACACACAGTGATCTCCCGCCTCGCCCCGAATTCTTCACGCCCAGAGCACAGAACAGTGACCACTGAGAAGGCAAGGAATGAGGGAGGCCTGGGGCAGGGCACTGGGGAACCTGCCCCTTTGTCCTGGGAGTAGAATGGAGCCCAACAGAAGGGGTACCCTGGATCCAGCTGTGGTAGGCTCCCTCTGCCCTGTCTTCCCCAGCCCAACTGTGGTGACTCAGGCACTTCTATGAGCCCCCTGTCCCCGAGTTCCGGATGGGGCCCTTTCCACTTGTGCCTTTGGACTTGTGAACTTATAGGGAGGCGCTAGCCTTGTACTGCACAGCTGTTCTCTTTCCTGTGGCCATCTGCCCCCTCCCGCTGAGGGATCTTCTCAAATTCTGTAGGGGTGAAGCGGAGGGGGAGGGGAGTGCCTGGAATGAGTTCCCCCAGTCTTATCTGTTTTACACCTGGATGAGGCTTTCGAACCTAAAACCCAAGAATGAGATGTCTGAGGAGAGAGGAGGGGTCCCAGATGGCTCCTCTGAGTGGGTCTCAGAGGTGAAGCCATTCCCCCCTGCTCCTCCTCCCTTAATCATTCATTAAAGCCTGAGGTGTCTTCTGGCGGACAGTTGGCAAATGCCACACTCCTGGCCCCTCCTCTGCTTCGTCCCTTCCTCCCTCCTTGCCTCCTGTCTTTGGCCTTCCCGCCTCTACCAGCAGCTTCTCATCTTTTTAATACTCCCTTTTTTTTTAGTTTAATTTTATTTAAATTCCATGTTTTCTTCTTTCTTTTCTCTTCATTTCTTCTTCCTTTCCCACTAGCCTCCTTTTCTCATTTTTCAACTGACTTTTCTGCCTTGAGGGCTAAGGAAACTGGGGCTCTGTGTTGTGTCCTAGGTGGCCCGAGGTAGGTCCTAGGAGTCAGTGTTTCCTGCCAGTAAGGGGAGCAGGACCCCTGAAGCTCCTTCAGCGGGCCACACACTGCTCTCTCCAGAGCACATTGACAGGACACAGGCCTGAAAGCGACGAGGCCACGGTGGCCTTTCTTTCCTGGGATTGAGTCTCAAACCGTTCCCACTCACAGCATCCTGGGCTGCCTCTGTGGTCTGAAAAAGCCATCTACGTTTTCTCTGTTATGTCAAACAGACAGAACACAAACAGGAAAACTTGTGTTTTGGTAAGTTCATTAAAAACTGACAACATCCCCAGTGAAGTTTTCTGGGGCTCTGGGAATCGTGTAAGCAGCTTTGTCGGTGCCTTATTAATGGCCCTTCTAATAATACCAGAAAATTTTAGAATGGCAGAAAAGCCAATCTGTGTCTGGAAAAAAAAAAAAAGGTGATACTCTTGTGGTTTCTCAGGAGGCAGCAGTAAACCACACCCAGTACAAAGACTATGGTGCGGGTAGGCGGGGGGAAGCTGAGTTTTGAAAAGAGGCAGGAGATGGGGAGAAGTTGTTGGGAACTGAGAGGCATCCTGTGTGTGTCCCAGGATGCCCACTGCTATTCCCCCCATCACCCCGAGGGGGTTCTAGCGCCCTCTCCTGGCACACCCCTAGCACATTGGCCCTCGGGCTAAATCTGCGCCATGTTTTTTTCCAAGGCCCATGACCCAGAAATGCTGTTGGTATTTGTAAAGGCTGGATAACAAAATCAAAGGGAGAATCATGTTTAATGACATGTGAAAACTCTATGGAATTCTAATTTCAGTGTCTGTAAATGAAGCTTAATAGGAAAAGAGCCACGCCCATTGTTTACGTATCATCCCTCAGCTTTCCTCCCACAACTGAGTAGTTGTGAGAGAGAATTTCTCCCACAAAGCCTAAAATGTTCACCACCTTGCCCTGTGCAGAAAAAGTTCGCTCACGTCTGGGTAGCCCGTAGACACGAGGCTCGGACTGCACAGTGTTGGCCCACGAAGTGTTTTAACTTTGAATTAGCTGCTAAGGAAAGAAAAAGTTAGGTTGTGGTCATTCTGGATTTCTAACTGAGTAGGAACAGCTTCTGTAGGAAGGGCACACACTGGCTCCCCGCCCCAGGCCTCACAACTGCCCATAGCTAAGGTAGAGCGTTGATGGTTGGTTATCACTTACTCCAGTGGTTCTTTTTTTTTTTAAGATTTTTTTTTTAAATATTTTATTTATTTGAGAGAGAGGCACAAGCATGGGGAACAGCAGAGGGAGAGAGAAGCAGGCTGCCCACTGAGCCCAACGTGGGGCTCGATCCCTTAACCAACTGAGCTACCCGGGTGCCCCTCCAGTGGTTCTTGATAGAGCTTACTTTGTCCCCTACCTCGACATTTGGCACTGCCTGGAGGTAGTTTTGGGAGGGTGCTGCTGGCGTCTAGTGGGTAGAAGCCAGCAATGCTGGTAGTGACCCTGCAATGCACTAAATAGCCCCCACAACAATGGATTATCTGGCCCCAAACCTCAGTAGCATTGAGATTTAGAAATCCTGGCTGAGCTACGTCTGCGGGTCCTACTCATCGTTCACAGGTGTTCTTCTTTTTTTTTTTTGTAAATTTAAAATTTGTTTTGGACTCTAACAACAACACCACCAAAAACAAAAATCTCTAAATACCAATTATCCGGATCATTTTTAGTCCCTTATATGATCTGTGTGTACTAATATACATGTTTATCTCATTGCATGTTATATATTAATTCTATTGTATTTTACCTTCACTATCACTTACTATTTAACGTTTAAAGTTTCATGCACGAACAAAGTTCATCGTGGTAGCATTTTGAATGGACGCTCAGAACTCCATGGTGTACCTGCATATTATGTTTTGCTAAGGCCCCTTAGTTGATAGGATTGTTTTAAATGTCCTCTTTGTATAGAGAGCAACTTCAATAAATGTTGTTCTTTGTACAACATTTTCTTTTCCCACCTTTGTCCTAACTCCTTGGGGGCTTTTTCTAAAGGTGGAATTGCCGGGTCAAATTTTTATAGTTGTTGTCACATATCACACAACTCTGTCCTCAAAAAAGGTTACAATGATTTGCGGTATCACTAGGGGTGTGTGGGGCCTCTTTTGCCCTTGCTAATGATAATCAACTGTTTACTGCTGTAAACTGAATTTTGTCACCTTATTGGCTATGGTTAAAGACACTTCATAGTTTTTGTGTTGCTTAAGTCACTGTGAAGGCAAACCTTTCCCATGTGTATTTTATAGTCCACATGTCCACCTATTGACAATACAGAATGTTCTACCTCCAAGCCACTGGGGCATTGAGAGAGCAGGTGAGCTGCTAGACATTAGAGGCCCTCAGCCAAACTTTACAACAACTGGTTGACTTTGTCATTTGTTTGACTATTTAAAATATGTGGGTTTTGTAGGGCATTTAAAAAGAAATTTCACATTGATGTGTTTTGTGTTAGTGACAAGGTCTTTTTGTGATTATCGTATGTGGCATTACCTGTGTCTTGCACTTTTGGGTGGAGGGTATCTGGACCGCGTATGACACATCATTAGCAGTTCTTATCTCTCTGCAGCTTTTACTAGACCTTGGGGTCAGCAGGGAGAGAGTTTGCTCAGAAGCACAAACAGCCCCAGTCCACGCTGGCAAAAGCCTGGACATGCCTGCCCCTTGCTGTGGAGAACAGTGTG